AGCAGGATTGCTTTTGTGTTTTGAGAATTTTACTTAAGTCATGTTGGAGCTACATTTTTCAAAAGATTTTTGCCTGAAGGAAGGGTCTAATATAAAAGTTTTGGGTGTGCACAGGATTTAATTGGCACTGGATTCTGTATGGGAAGGCATACTTTTGAAAGTCCTCTAGGCACCTATGTTGGACACATGTAACCTGAGTAGGTTGTACTAGACGGCTTTTAAAGCTTATTTGTACAAGGACTACAAATGAGGTTTTTTATAATTTATTATGACCAACATATTTCTGTAAAATGAATAGGGAAATTTTGGAGACTTCTTGGACACTGTTTGTTTCATTAATCTAATTCCCTGACACTGGTTGATGATGTTATCCTGACACAGCAAGTGCTTCTTTTGGCAGATATCAACGAATGTGGCTTCTGGAATCACGGCTGTACTTTGGGCTGTGTCAACATCCCTGGTTCCTATTACTGCACCTGCCCCAGAGGTTTTGTTCTGCTGCCTGATAGGAAAACATGTCATGGTAAGTAGCAGTAATACATAAACACTTTGAGTATCATTTTGGAGAGAGTCCTTATTTAACACTGGAACTGCTGAAAGTTTTGTGTGTTGCATTGCTCACCTCCAATCCCTTATTATGTAAGCGGGATCAGCTTAAAGTGATTGATCCAAATTCAAATGTCATGTTTACAGAAATGTAAGTTACACGTGGGTAATCAAGTGTGAGCCTCTTCAGGAGAAAAAAAAAATAAAATAAGGTCTCTAGAGAGACCTCTTTGCTCAGAGGAGGCTCTGTGTCACAGTCTAGGTACATAAGCAGTTACATCTTTTTAAATGTGGCCTCTGAATTTGGCTCACTCTGGCTATAGTGCATAAGAATTTGCGCAGTCTCTGAGCGAGCACTTTACAACATCATCTTTTCTTCTCTTCAGATCAAGGTTGATAGCATTTCTAATGTGCCTGAAATTAATGAAATTAAAAGAAAGTACATCTGTCTACAACAAAGAAGACATGCAGAAGTACTCAAAGCTGTTTACTGTGAGGCTCTCCTGAACCTGTGGGATGTTGGTTTTTTCTTTTATCAGTTAAACAGTGTATAAGAAGTGTGTCTGAGAGAACCTATATAACACAGGGACATAAAGCAGGAAGCTCTCTGAAGCTGGATAAATATGAATAAATTAATGCAGGACACACAGAGAAGTGGAGGGAAAACACAAAGATCTGTCAGTAAGCTTCAAAGACCGTATTTTAGTCATAGTAAGAGTTAGAAGTGAGGAGGTTTTTTCCTCCCTTTATGAAGCACTGTGTATATTCAGCCTAAAAATTATTTAAGCCTTTCTAAAGTAAGCCCAGGGCTTAAGATGTAAAATGCATCTAAGTTTTGAGGTCTTGGGATATTCCCAGTCACTTTTCTATTTCATAATGAAGTGAAGCGTAGACATAGACAAGGGTCCTCCCACCTTGTGTCCATGGAAATAAAAGATTGGTATATGTCCCAGGTAGAAATACCAGTGCACACCAATGAATTCAGTCTGGATCACAGTAGGATCAGGACCTAGGGTATGTTAAATATCTCTAGAGTGTAAATGTAGCCTTACAGTCTAACAGACTTTAGCAGACAGTCTATCTATTTCAGACCTCCAAGAGTCACTTCTCCCCCTCTATTAAGAGGGAGCCAACAGCAGAATTCAGTGTCCCAGACTTGAAGGTCCAGGGTGTGTGTGACAGAAGACCTATGGGAGACCTGCAGCCAGAGGCTACTGGGAGGTGGAATGTTGCTTTGTGTCCAGAACAATGCTTAGACACTGTGCAACTCAGTCCTACGCTGGATGACTAGCTTGAACTATAAGCCTACATTTTGAGTGGATCAAATTAGATAGAAAATAGTTTTTCTAACACAGGCTAGGGATACAGCATGGACAGTATAACTCCTTAACTACTGCAGCACAAGGCAGGTATGTCACCAACTACACAGCTTGAGAGATGCAAGGTGAGAAGTCCACGTACTGACCAGACACTTTGATGCTTTGTCCTCCAAGTCCTTTACGAAGCTCTTCATCTGAAGTCACACACTCTAGCCAGAAGGAAAGATAAGATCAGTTTCTTGACTCTCTTCTTTGTGCTTAAGGGGTTAGAAGAACCCAGTCCAGAGCACAGTTGCCCTGAAGAAGCAATATTTGCAACAGCTATGTACCATTGAAGCCAGCATATGCAGCTGATTCAAAGCAGCAGCTGTGGGAAACTTACATTAGTTCCAGTCTTGTGGTGGGTGTTGCCATACAGCACTAAAATCAGCATAAAGATTGGCATAAATAGAGGCACTGCAATATTGAATGTGGAGGAGAATATCCTGTGAAATTGCATTACAGAAGTACTAAAAAAAATGTCGGCACTGCAACAATTGTCATGAAAAGTAAAGGAGAACTATTGCCAGATCCTCAGGTGGTTTTGCCCCTACAGCTGCAAAAATCACCACTAAGGAACATAGCTTTATTTCTGGGAGGTTCATCTCCTGTTTTCATTGTTTCTAGGAAAGTAGATTTTCCTCATCCTCTTTGTGTTTTATACTCATTCTTTCATTGTAACTTCCTTATAGTTTTCAAAACTTAATCATTTTCGATGAAATGTAAAAAAAGAAAGTTTTCTAAATTATTTCTATATTAGTAACACATGTTCATACAATTTTGGAAAATTTAGAGCTGATCAGTAAAATGGCTTCAGGACCCAGCAATTTTGGCTTTCTCCTGTGCTACAATTAGGAGAGGGTTCAGGGAAAAATGGAAAAAACTGTAACAAACCAAAGCAAATGCCAGAAAGATCACAGAAGTGTTGTAGTCTCAACATCACTTTTTTTCCTTTTCTTTTTTTGTCTTTTTTTTCCTTTATTTTCTCTTTTGCAAATTAAGAAAGTGTTTAAAAGGGCTCTGTAAAATTTTTTATCACCATTTAAAGGGTTTTTTCTTCTTTAAATTATTGTAGAGCTAATTTCCTGTAAAAGTAACAACACGGAATGTAGCCATGGTTGCCTTCAAACATCTAAAGGGCCTGTTTGTTTTTGCCCTGAAGGATCGGTACTCAAAGTGGATGGCAAAGCATGCACGGGTAAGTAATGTTTTTTCTATCTGTAGTGACTGCCAAACTCTGTTCTTGGCACTGAGAGCCATAAGTGAATGAAGGTATTTTACACTCATTTTTCACAGCTGTAAATGATTGTACAAGATAGGAGGCAACAAAATTTCATGCTTTGAGTTCTGAGAATAGTAACATTAATTTTTTTTTTAAATAGATGTTTCTTAGTAGCAATATCCAATGTTCACAGGCCAAATTCTTTTGTTGTCAGCACAGATCAAGGCATCTTCCAGATGTTTGTTGCAGGAGACATTTATAATTCATATTTGGGGGGAAATATAGATACAAAATTAGGGCCTGGGTGAAATCTGAAGATGACGTTGTTGATGTTGTGCAACCCAGGTTCAGAGTCACTCTAGTTTACAGCAATTTCATCTAATTACCCACAAATGGAATTTTTGCATTCAGAATATTTGAAGCTGCTACACCCACTAATCTGCCATTCTTCATTCCAGCAAGGCTTCCAAACTTGGGAGACTGTAGCTTTTCAACTGTATCTTTTTAGTCTTAGGGATCAAGATAGCTCCATTAATGCCAGCCTTACACCTTGAAAAAAACCCCTTCCCCTTTTACATCCCTTATGTACTGTAGACTGCACTGTATACATAGATCCACTCAGTGTTGCTGTTTTGCTTAGGAACACTAGACTGAGTAAGCTCAGGTTGGCATTGAGGCTATAACCATTGTACAGACCCAAGAAGAAAGAATAGTTTATTTTTGTACAAAGTCTTGGTTTGTTGTATTGGAAAATATAAATTAACCATCCTAATTAGGTTTTGGGAAGAGATTTACTTTAATTTGCCATTTCTATGCATGGAGTGCAAAGTCTGATAAAATTTGTTACTCTGTCGTAGATGGGATGAGATTTGTATGGGAGAAAAGGTTCTCTGAAATAGTGAACATATGGAAGCCCTCTACATATATCCCACCCCCATCTTGTTTTGTGGATTTTCAGGAAAAGCTTTTGAAGAAGTTACTACTAATTTGCTCTCACTTCACTAGACTTCTGCTTTCAGCTGTTGCTGTAAATCATTGGCCTTTTAGTAAATCTATAATTCACCAAGATGCTTTACATGGTAGAAATCTTACGCTGAGTTAATTGTTCTCTTGCTTATATATCTGATTTTGTTGTATTTTTTCTTTAGGGTAAGCTAAATTTTTCAAATGCTCTGTTTAAGGTTGTACATCTCCAGATAATGGTGGCTGTAGTCAAATATGTTCTTCTTTAAGTCCGTTCTCCTGGGAGTGTGCTTGTTTTCCTGGATACAAGCTTCAGCGAGACAGAAAGCACTGCACTGCTGTAGGTTGGTATCTTGGCATGCTTGCATATTTCTGTCAATAAAAGCAAAAACATTTTAGAGTCCTTCAAAGTGGACTGTATAATTTGGATCCATTTTTGCACTGGTTTTAGGTTACTTTGTGAAACTTGGGAAGTACTAGTTGTTGGGAAAACTAACCTATTTCGGAAATACACCAGAACAAGCACCCAGTATATTTTTCAGTCTCCCTCACAGAAGATTCAGTCTTTTATCCAGCTTCTACATTTCCCTCTGGGCTCCTGTATTGCAGAGGTCTATCTGCAGTATTCAGAGTTTTGTGCCTTCATATAAATGTGGGTGTAGTTTCTGCCCAGTGTTACAGAATTGGGGTTGAGGTGTCTAAATTTAGAGAAGAGGACAGGGAATAGTCTGTTGAAGGACCTTCCCTACAAGGATATTTCTGCCCCTCTGGCCCCAAGAATCCCAAGAATTTGATGTGGTGTTTGGATTCCAGACCCTTCTGTTTCTACTGAGGAAAGGGTAGACCCTGGTGAGCAGCAAGGTATAAGCAATCATATATGAAAGAAGGTAAGATAAATATGTGATTTGTTTCAAGAATAAGGGAAAAGCTTTATTTCTTGGAGGACAGCATTTTTCTTGCTTTTACTGTGAAAGGCTTCTTGTGCAAAAATGAAGTATTCTGGCATGTATGGTGATGCTGTGAAATGCAGAGGAAAGATTGTCTTGAGGCTAACTCAGTGTGAAATGCAGTAGGGCTAGTGACTGCCTTTGTCATCATTTTTGAGGCTGATCCTGGGCAAGGCACTAATGCTGAAAACCTATATTCACATTTATCTTTGATTTCTGAGGCAAGTGGAATGTAGGATAAGGACCTTAATTTCTTTGTGCTTCTTTTCCTAATTTTGTCTTCTGCTGTTATGTATTTACAGTGTTAGCTCAGTAGTGACGCAGGCTAGAGATCACTTTGTACCTAGTGGAATTAACCTATGTGTGAATTTTTATCAACAGGTCCTAAGCCATTTTTGTTATTTGCAAATGGTCAAGATATCCGCCAGATCAGTTTTGATGGAACAGATTATGTGAGTTTACTTGACTGGCAGATGGGAATAGTCTTAGCTCTGGACTCTGACCCAGTGGAAAATAAGGTGAGGCATTAAAAATGAGAGGATTTTGAAGTGTTGCAAGGACACATGGATTGGGTGTTCATGTGCCTTAACCTTTCCGCTGTTAGTGATCCAGATTACACATTGTGTTGCTTGTCGTTCTGCTGCCTGTCCAGGGGCACAACTGGTACAGGATGGCAAACACTAGTTAGAATTTCATCCTTTACTTACCGGTTGAATGTGCTTTGTACGTTGACATGGCTAATTCACAGAGAATTTCGATTTCTATATTTGCTTCAGGCATTATTTCAATTTCAAAGAGCTTTTGAATGATTGATAGTTTCTCACTTAAGATTTCAGTACTGTTTTCTGAAAATATAATCTGGGATTTTTTTTTCCTGGGTAACTGTAAAGACAACAGTATCTTTTTTTTTTTTCTGTACAGCTACATCCCACAATCCCTACTAAATGTAGGAGTAATCTTAACAAGAATTAATTCCCATGTCCTGACATTATTGAGCAAAACTGCTGAACACTTGCTGGGTTTTTTGCTTTTGTGAAATGTATTCCTCATATCACAAGATATTGCTTTTGAAAAAGGGAGTCTTCTCTGCATAAAGAGGTGTTTGTGTGGCTGCCATCCAGTGCACCACTCCTTGCCTGCAGAGTTGGGAAGGATAGGAGTTCAGCTGTGCTTTGCTAAAACTTCTGTGGCAGATAGTTATTTTTTTTCCCATGGTGAGGCTTCCTTACACTATAAAAGTGTTACAAAAAGATACTGGATGGTACAGTGAAAGCTGATGAGGAGCTCAGCTAAGTTGTTGGAAACATCTCAGGGCCTGGACAGACACAGTTAAACAAATGCGAGTGTTACCAGATCTGCATTACAGGAGGATCATTTCGTGTGCTGCTGGAACATCGCCACTTGCTCCTGAAATAGGTCCCCAGCTCCTGGGGACCTGGCAGTTGTCTTGTGCTGTGCCGGGTGTAAATCAGCCATGCCGGTGACACCGGGTGCGCATCCTTGTTCCCTCTGTAGGGAGCTGTGTCAGTGTGGGGGCGAGGCAGGGTGCAGGGGGACAGCCCGGCTGCAGCAGCCTGGTCCTGGTGCCACAAAACTGAAGCGCAGGGTGAATTAGCTCTGTATCACTCTGCGCTCCAATAGTAACTGAATTAGCTGGCATAATGCTCCCTCTGGCTTTGTCCCTTTGGCCACATGGTTAGCATCAAAACAAAGTTGTGTTTTTTTTGTTGCTACCATTTGCAGAGAAAGCCTCAGTGTCTCTTTGTGTGTAGTTCTGCCATGTGGTTGGTGTTTGGCTCCCTCTGGATATCAAATACAAGATACTGTTTTTTCCTCATCCTTGGAAAACACAAACCTAGTTTTCCCACCAGCAGAGAACTTTTATTTTGACATAAACCAGAAGCCTCTTATGGAAATGTTAGAGCCTTACAGAATAGATCCCTGGTAAAAAGTTAAGACATGTCCAGGCAGAAAGAGGGAAAAATGTAGAAGAAAATTATGTAACTCCTTTTCCCATCTCAGCTTCTTGACACACATACACCATTACTCTCTTCTCCACACTCACCCCTTTTTGAAATGAGCAGCCAGTGAAAGAATTGCTTCCTTTTGCCTGCTCCTCCTTTTTCTTTCTGAGCTGTGCTTCGTGTGAAGAAGCTGCTTGCTGAAACACCACCACAGGATATTCAGAGGGCTGTATATAGGGCAATCAGGATTTACAGCTAAGCACAAGCTGCCTGTGGAAGTCATCCTGGTTGAAGGATAAGTGCCTTTTTATTTGATCAGGGATCACAGGTTACCTGTGCAGCTTTTTGTGAATAAGCAATTCAGGACTTCCAAGATGATAAAATTATTTTGGAAGTGGAACTGTTAGACAAAGGAAATAGAGCAGAAAGTGAGATGGGAACTAATAACACCTCATCTGTTATTTCTTTACAGATTTATTTTGCCCACACTGCCTTGAAATGGATAGAACGAGCTAATGTGGATGGCTCAAATCGTGAAAAAGTTATTCATGAAGCTATAGATATACCTGAAGGCCTTGCTGTGGACTGGATTAACCGTAAATTGTATTGGACAGACAGAGGGTACATGCTCCACAGTGCATTTATGTTGAAGCATGCCATAAAATATTTGGAATAAATGACTGGTGATACAGAAATAGCTGAGATATTACTCTAAATTCAGTAATGCTTCACATTCTGACTGAGTAGCTGTAATCTCAAGTATATACAATTGGAAGGTTCTTTAAAACTGAAATGCTGGAAGTTCTCTTTGAGTCTGCTATTGTGTTTTTGCCTTTGTCTTTCCAAGAAGTGAGGGTTTGAACACAGCTGCAAGTAATCTAAAGCACGTTCTGCATGTATACATATATCTATATGTACATGCATGTGTGAACATATATATATACACTCGTATTTATGTACATACACTGCATGTGTGTGTGTATAGGTATATCTTTATCTATATATCTAAAAATAATGAGTATTACTGCACCGAGAACATCTTGGATAGAAGTCAGCATTGCTGACAGCTAGAATCATGCCCCTTTAAGCTAATGGAGAGTCTTTGTCAGTTATTTGTGATAAAAGAGGAATGGCTGTTAGTACACAATATGACTTCATATTTCAGCTGATACCTACCCTTACATTCACAGAGAAAAAAAAACAACCTTTGGTGAAAAGGCAGTGTCAGATCAGAACACATAATGAAGAATCCTTGAAAAGTGGTCATGATGCTTCAGTATGACCCATATTTTATTAGTCAATAAGAAGTGGTTTTGAATGTCCAGGTCACACTTCTTCTCACTTTTAAATATACTGCTAGTCCACTTCCTTGCTGTTAAGTACAGTCTTGTGTACATGATTGTGCTCCTGTATGAATATACCAGTGATTCTTGTGAAATGGAAAATTATGGTGCAAATCTCTGTAAAACAAGAATCAAGGGTGAAGCTGTGAATTGGTATCTGCTCACATGCTGCATTTACCTGTTTGTATTGTGTATCCACATTTGCATGAGGATATTTCTCCTTCCATCTTTGTATGGCTTTTCTCTGCAGGTTCAGGTAGGCATGGAAGGCTGTGGATGTGCTTTCAGGTAGAGGCTGATATTTGTTTGGCAAGGGGAAGTTTGTAGCAATAAGTACAGTTTTCTGGAAAAAAATCAAATCAGGAGAGTGATGCATAGGTTCCAACGTAGGTTCTGTGCTTGACTCTGCCATAAATTTTAGGAGTGATCATAAGGACTTTAGCTTCATCTTTCTTCTAAAATAGATATAATATGTAAATTGCTTAGTGATTTCTGGATGAAAAATGCTATATAAAGATACTATTTAAAAATTTTATTTATATATTTGATAATGTCATTCAGTTAGGAGCTTTTATTCCTACTGACTCCTTTGAAAGCTAGCATTCATCTATTAGTGATCATACTTCGAATTCATTATTTGCCCAAAAAAGGAGAACTTCATGTCTCCTGCAGAGCAGCAGGTATTTTATTATCATGCCCTGGACCAGATAATGAGACTATAACATGAATTATGTGTTGATAAAACAACTGCACATTCCACATCAGCAGGATTATTTCCTATCATTGTGAAGTTATTTATTACAGTTTTGTGCTAAACTAAAGCACATTCAGCCTGAGAAGGTAATTAAAAAGAGCAGGAAGTATCTAACAGTGCCATGTGTGTTGCAGGAAGGCATGCATTGAACGGAGCAATCTGAATGGAATGCAAAGAAAAATGATCATCTGGGAGGATATCTCCCAGCCCCGAGGGATTGCCATTCACCCGCTTGCAAAGTAAGGAGTGATAAACTCGGTCACTTGAGTAATAATTGGGGAGGCTTTTTAAAAATGAGCATGCTAGCCTTGCCTTTTTGACAGTCAATAAATGCATTAGTCGTATGTTAGGATAGTCATTGCCTTGCAGAGTTATGTGAACGGCAATATTTTATTGCTGGGTTTCTTTTGTGAGTTGGGGCGTGTTAATTTGTCATACAGATTTTTAAAAATACCAGAAGAATTAAAAATATTGTATGCAGTTTAAGCTAATGAAAAACACAAGAAACTGAAGTCAGCCTGACAGTTGCAAGCACCACACTACAAACTTGATGACTTCATATCTGTGTGTGAAGAAGACAGTAATTTTTAACCAATGATGCTTTCAAAGGATTTTTTTGCTGTGTTTGGGTTTTTGAGGAAACTAAACCAAATCAAGTATTGTGGGGATGCATTGATTTAAATCTTACATCTTACCTAGTGCAGAGATGATGAAAGGCGTTTTGAATGTTTAAACTATTGATGACATTATGGCCATTTTAATCAATGGCAAAGCCCCATGGATTTTGGTCAATATGCCTGTAGTAGGACGCTCTTAAATATGTTGATTTTTTATTATGCTCATATCCTGCTACAACTAAGTACTGATGAATGAAGCTGAGTTGGGCAGGAAGGTGTTTTGTTAGCTTCACTTTGTATATAAAAGACCTAAAAGAATCTTTCAGTAGAGGTTGCTTATGATAGAGACATTTTGCAGGAAATCTTTTAAGAACGGGTAGGTTCAGGGAGTTTTTTTATTAGAATTATTGGTAGAGACAAGGGCTGCAAGGGGGAAGGAAGGAAGAAACATCACTGAAACCTTCATTTTTAGAAAGGTAATGGTGAAAGGAGAAACAGACATTATAACAATGTCCATAATTGTAAAGACAGTATTAAAGGGAGATCTGAGGCACAAGTAAGATTCTTGAGAATACTGATTCCTCCATTGGCTATAGGAAAACTGCTCATGTAAATAAAGCTAAGTGAATCTGTGAGTTATCTCAGTAAACCTGACAAAGGCAGCTGATGCCTGGGAAGACTGGAGTCCAAACTTCAGAAGTAACTTGTGGGTTTAGCTATCTCCATTTTAAGTGGCCACCATACCCTGTCTATTCTTTGAAAACCAATAAACACTCAGTGAGTAACACTCAATACTTTAGAGGGAGACCCTGAGAATCATGATTTTATTAAAAGAAGAAAAGATTCTGAGCCTGATAGTGGTTTTATTTTTTAAAACCAAAATAACCTGAGGACTGTTGCTTGTTTTCCATGGGTCGTGGGTAATTTTAGTTCCATTTGTGTGTTTTTACACCTTTGTTTAGACGAGAGGCTAGCCAGTGCATTGTCCTCAGTTGTCTGCATTTGCTAAACACTATCAGTCATGTGGAAAAACACAAAAAGCAGATACGAAGAGTTGGCAGTAAGCACAGTTGGGAGGAGTTGTTTTTCAAAGGTTTTGTGCCAATGAACAGAGTGGGGATTCTGCGTAAGTCCCAGTGTAATCAACTGGAGTCTTATGGCAAGTGTTAAAAGATCAGCAGCCAACATATTTGCTTGAAGTGTACACTTCTTCCCATATGCCTCAGGCCTGTATTGCTCTGATTTTTCTGCTTTGAAAGAACTCCACAGAGAGGAGGACAAACATTTACTTACTGACTTCCTGTAACCATTTTGTTTTCTAAAGGAGATTATTCTGGACTGACATGGGTGTCAATCCCCGGATTGACAGCTCTTCATTGGAAGGCATTGATCGCCAGGTTATAGCCAGTACTCGTCTGGTGTGGCCCAGTGGAGTAGCTCTTGACTACTTAGCCAACAAGTTGTACTGGTGTGATGCTAAGCAGTCAGTGGTTGAGAGCGCAAACCTGGATGGTTCTGGACGTCGAATTCTTGCACAGAATGATGTAGGTGAGGCTTTGGGGTTGATAATTACTTACTGCTGCTTGTCAACGTGCATGTGTATTTGCATATGTGCATGTGAATTGCCAGGCCGTGCTGTATATCCCATGCAACTCTGTGTTGAGGTTAATGGCATCACTTAGTTCTTCATTATGTTACCCAGTTGTCTTTTATTTATTCATTTTAGCAAAAGAACACCTTTCTTTTCTATCTCTGCTTCTACTAATCATTCACTTTGCACTGTACAGAGAACTCTGTTTTCACAGAAAAATGGAAACAAGGAAAAAGTTAAAAATGTGGTTTGCTTGTTCCATGCATGGCTGCTTAGTGTAATTCAGGTTTTGTGGTGTTTATTACATCCATGAGTTATATTGATGTAAAATGGAAGAGAATTAATCTTGGCTGTTAAGGTCCTTGAGCAATAAGCCTGCATCTGCACAGTGCTGAACACTGGGATGATTCTAAATACACAATAGACACTGAATGGAAAAATGATTTATGTGATGTGCTGGTAGTCATTGTGGCTGAGATTTTAACTGTTTGACATGTAACTATGTTGTTCTGAAGCAAGAGAGCAGAAGTATTAGCAATGAGGAACTGATGTTGTACCACATCTAAAGTAAGCCATGTGTTCAAGAATCTTGTACATGGCAAATTATTTTCTGGAGAGGACAATTTGCTTTGTACATAATATCTCTCTGGGGAGCATTTTGTAGGTATGCAGAGAAAACATGGGCAGAATGAGGACTCTCGGCTCAATATCATGACTGCCATTTGTAGAGAGCAGCTGCTGCTCTAGTCTCTGCCAGGGGAAGGGTTGCATTCATCTCTGAAGTCAGATGGTGGTGAGCAGAATTTGGAGGTGAGAGGAGTGAGGTCTTGGTGGAAACAGTGTTCTCCAGTTCATGAGACATCACAGACCCTGAGCAGAATGACTTGCCAGCATTCCTCTCTTTTCCCCTGCTGTAAACTCCACCTTGAAACTGATCTGCAAAGGACGACCTTGAAGCCAATTCAAACTTCACTGTGTTTCTCCACAAGGAATGAGAGTGTCTTACCGGAAGAAAACAGAGAAGGAGAGCTAAGAGTGCTGGAGAAACACAGGGCATGGGAAAGGAGGTAGGCTTGGAGCAGTGATATGCTCCAAGCATATCAGCCAAATCACCTCCAGTGATATGGCTGTTTGGAGGTGTAAGAAAAGGACATTAACAGCTGTATGGAAAGAAGTGGAAGAGGTGAAGTGCACACCTGTTAGCGGTATGAATGTAGAGAGGCAGAGAGATTTGATATCCTGATGTTTTGCTAATGCTGTTAGTGACTGGAATTCAGCTTCTCTTCTTGGGCAGCTGTATGCTGGAGAACAAGAAGGTGGCACCTCTCCATAGGCTTTCTGCTGTAACATGGATTTTTATTGCAGCAGCTCCCTCTAGTGCCTCTGTACTGAGAATTCATTCAGTACCGCTGCACCTAAAATAGGTAAAATTATTTCTGCTTTCTGCTAACCTCGTTTTCAGCTGTAAGTAGAACAGCCTGTGAGCACCTGCCCAAGGCAGTGAACAACACAACCACTCCTTTTGTTTATGCAATGGGTTGAGTTTGCACCGCTGTGGAAAGGGTTCATGTGATTATTCATTTATCTGTTCCTGTTATCTCCATTGATGAGAATACAGTACTTTTTTTAATCCTCATGTATTTATAAGTTAAGAGGTTAAGGAATTGTTGGCCGAAGTGGAATGTTGTTTGTTGATAGTGCAAGCTATAGATCTTAAAATGGTGAGTAAATATTTGGATGGGGACATTATCCAGATCTTGGGCTAGTTGCTCAAATTTCAGGGCAAGAAAAACTGAGAACCATGGCCAGCAATTAAGCATGGTTCAGTGGAAGCAGTGAAGTGAATAACAGTATGCTCTTCAATTTAACACTTAAGAACCCTTAAAACAGTGTCTTAGAATTTTTCTTATGTTTTCTTATGTAGGAGTAGGGGCCTTTTTTCAGTTTATTTGTGATGTGTATTTAAGATATACCAACACATACTCCTTCTCCAAGGTTCTAATTTTTTTGTTGTTTGTTTGCTTGGTTTTGATTTTTTTATTATTATTTTTTAAGCTAATACTTTTTGGGTTCCCAATTTCATTACCAAAATTAAACATAACCTGGTTGAGGTCTACATCAAACCCACAGATCATAAAATCATGTGCCTACAAAACCTACCTTAAAGGGGGGCTCAGACTACAGTGGTACGAAGTGAGGTGCATATTCAGACTGTAAGTAAGAACCAGGACAAAGCAAACATGCTTCAGCTAGCAAGTACCCACTCTGAAACCAGGTGGACATCCATGGAAGAGCAGTATGTGTTCTCACCTTCCATTGCAAAAAGCTTGCCCAAAGACTATCTTGAAAGCAGGAGATTTCTAAAATGTATAGAAAGAATGCACAGTCACATATGGACTAATGACAATTTTCTGTCATGACAGAGATATCAAAAAGTGTCAGAATCATTTTGCAAAGATCATTATATCTGTAAGTATATCTGCCCTTTGGACAGGAAAGTTTGGCTTCTGAACTGCTGAGCTTCTCTCTGGAAGTCAAACTATGTATCTGAGTTTTCCTAGTGCAGATAATGTTGTGCTACCAAGGAAAAAATGCTGTACTCTGAACTTCGAGTGGGATTTCTCTCAGCTGCTGTTAGATATGTAAATGTTAGATGCCTAGTCTAAGCTGGTGTCTAGATTCCTGTTTGTAATAGGTGAAAAGAGAGGAAGCTACCTGAATGATCACAGGATAGGTTTATGTTAGCTGTTACTGTTGGTTAGCTGGCTACCAGGCCGTGTCTAACTAGTCACAGCTACTGCTGTTAGTTGACTGAAGTGAGGAAAATGAATTCTGCTCTTGAATTTTGCACTGTGATGAATTAGCTAGTGAATGCCTGTGCATGTTTATATGTATGTGTGGACCGCTGTATTGCACTTGTGTGTACTTTTGACACTTGCAGAGACCGCACACTGGCTTTGGGGCCCTACCATGAGTCAGTCGCTATACTGTTTGTAGCTCCCAGGCTGTCTTGTGCTGGTACTCTTATGCAGGATGACACATGCCATGACTCACTCTCCTCCCTGTTATGTGAAGACTGCAAAAGGAGCTGTGCACCTCAGCAGCTCTGTGCTGGGCTTCTTACTGGCAGAGGAGAGAGGCACTCCACTTCTGAAAGGCTGGTTCCAATGCTGCTTCAAGAAATGATGTCTGAGGTAGAGGCATCTTGTGACCTTGATCTGGTTGGAGGTCACCAGCAGTATTAAGGCTGTACTGAGCCAGGAAAGTGTCATATGCTCTGCTAAGAGCATAGGTAACATGTGCCCATAATCCATCACTTATGGACACTTATCCATCCCCATGAGATATCAAAGTGGCGGAGTGGCTATGGCTATGCCACTGTGTTAGCAGTAGGTCTGTATGCAGACTGCTTTTGCTTACATGGTTTCTTGTGTACATTCTACAGGTGTGGAAATGAGAAATCTAATTTCTTTGTAGGCCACCCTTTTGATGTAGCAGTGTTTGAGGATCACCTTTGGTTTTCTGACTGGTCTAGGCCATCACTAATGAGGGTGGACAAGAAGACCGGCCAAAACAGGGTACGTCTTCAAGGCAGCATGCTGAGACCCTCATCAATGGTTGTAATTCATCCTTTGGCGAAACCAGGTATACTGCAAAAATTAAGCAGTCCTTCCCTTCCAGCCTCCTCTTGTTCACTAATATCAGTAGAACAGATATGTTTGGGGAGAGGATTATCTTCTTAGAAATAGGTTTTTTAAAAGGCCTTGCATAGTTAGACTGGCATTTATTGAAAGCACCATCTGGGCATGTGTCCCAGGAATGTTAACAGATTTAGTATATTTATGATCATGCCCAAGAATAGATGCTGATCAATTGCCACTAGGCCATCATAGTCTTCTAATTCCTATTTATCCTACTTTATGAGCACCCTTCAGATACACAAATAATAGCAAATGACATTGAGAAAGATTTTGTAAGATTTATTTGTTTTGGATCAAATAATTTGATTTTATGTTGGGAACAATCTCCCTGTACACAGAAAAAATAATTCAAAAGACCAAGACTGAAAGAAAGTTATCACAGGTTCCCTATGCCCTTGTAATGTTCTTTTAGGGTATGTTAGGACTCTAAATATTAAAGGAGAAATAATAAGGAAAAAATTTTAAAAGTGTTGCATTTATTAGATAAAGAGTATGTGAATCTGTTTTCCTGCCAGAGGCTAGGTGATAATATCTATACTTTACTACATGCATCTATTTTTAATTTTAAAAAAAAGATGTTCTAGGTTTTTTTCAGTCCTTATTCTTTTTCCAACTGCTTCAACTCTGCACAGCTAAAAGGAGGTGTTGACTGAAGAAGAAGCTTGTTAAGTTGCCTGTTTTTCTGCATTAGGGGCAAATCCTTGCCTTTATGAGAATGGAGGTTGTGATCAGATCTGTGAAAACAATTTTGGAGTTGCCCAGTGCATGTGCCATCCAGGATATGGGAAAACTCAAGATGGAAAAGCCTGTCATGCTCTGGATGCTTCCAACACAACAGCAGGTACAGTCCTCCAGTTCCAAAAAAATCCCCTCCCCAAACCATTGAGGATCCTGACAGATAGCATTGGAAAATACCTTGCTCCACATAATTCTTTCTCTGAAGAATGACAATACTGGGGTTTGTTTGGGGACTATAATATGGTATCTGACCACTGTAATTTTTCCCTTTGGTGTTTGAGCAGTGAGAGAGATGTTTGTAGTGCTGACAAGTATAGTAAGCAATGAGTTGCATTCCTTATCTTTTGTATTTAAGAAAACCTACCAATCAGCGATTTTAGGAATCATTTTATGTCAGAAACTGACTAGACTGGTAAGATGTTTATTTTAAAAGGAAACCACTGTGATTATTGGAATGCAGACAAGTGACAGAAAATCAAAAAATAAGTTCAGTAGATGTAAATAGTCTGTGTCACTCCTTTCTTTTCTTTTTCAGGAAGTGTCTCTGTGCAAAAGGAGGTAGTGCCGATGCCAACACCAGAGACCTTGCTCCAGAGCACACAAAGCAGTGGGATATTCAAGGATACGGACAGTGAGGAAAAGCATAAAATAAACATTTTGTTGATGGCTGAAATCATGGTATCAGGTAGAGTCTGATGATTGTCTTCCATTGGTTTACTGTGAGGCTCTGAACAGGTTTATAGAACAGAAAGAAATCACAGGTAGGAATAAAATTTAAAAAAACCCATAAAGGAAAAAAGGCTCAATGTCAAAATTGGTGACATTCATGCTCTTAACCCTCTTACAAGAAGTCTGGCCTATGCAATTATGCCAGGAAGGAGTGCTTTTTTGTTTGCTTGTCTCCATGTTCCTTCACCATGTCAGCAAAATTTGATAATATTATCCAGGCCTAGAGAGCAAACATTTTTAATTTGGAAAACTTGTCACAGTCTCTCCCTTAGATTTTATAGGTATACTAAGTTCCTCTGAGCAACATTGCAGTAAAACCATTTAATTATATGTATGTTCAATGACTCTCGATCATTACATTGTACAATAGGCTTTGCATACAATATTCAGAAAACCTGATATTAAATGATTCTTCAATTCTATCTAGACAAATACAACAGCCCGAAATATTGCATTGGCTTGTTTCCATTAATCCTTGAGAGCTATGTTTCAAAACTTGACCAAATGTTCTGGTTTTCTTGTTAGCTTTTTGGTTGATTAGTTGTTTGAGATTTTTAATGTACTGTACCTCCTTTGATCTGTCTGAATGCATCTAGTGGGGTTTTTTGGTTTTTTTTTCTTTATGCTATAGATCAAGATGACAGCACTGCACTAGAATGTGGTATCAATGCACAGTGTGTTTTGCTGGAAGATGGTGCTATGTGCCAGTGTTTGAAAGGATTTACCAGGAAGGGGAAATCATGCTATGGTAATAAAAGACATCAATACAACCTTCTGAAAAAGTGTAGATTGGGGTAGAGGAAGAAAATCTAATTTTTCTCACATTGGCAGCTCTGCTGTGAGAGCCATCACAGAAAGGTCAATGGTATTGCTTGTTTTGAAAGGGATGATGAGCAGAGAGCATGTGAGATGAAATGGCTAATTATGACATGCCTTATTTTCCCCTGGGTCAGGAGTGTTAATCCTATTAATATTAACAAGCAATAATGGGCATAATAGGAATAAAAGCATGATGTATTTTATTTGTAAAAATTGCATAATTATAAAAGCTCAGTCCATAGACGTGATAGTTGATGTGTAATTTAGAAATATGTATTAAAGACTCACTTAAAAATTAGTATTCCTGGTGTAATGTTTGTATGAAAGTGCTGCTTTCATTTCCTTCTAGCACTAGAAAGAGACTAACAATCAGACAACACATTGCTCAGCGTGATCAAGTTTTCTGACTTGCATACAGCATAAATAGAGGCACTTTGTTCTTTCATAAAGGCCAAGACAGGAAAGCATTAGAAACAGAACAATTTACCATTCGGAGGCTAAGCATGAAGACTCACAGGAGTCCATGTTGTTATGGAAAGGGAAAAAAAAAAAAAAGGAAAGTGAAATGAGTATAATTTTTTTTTAATTGTGGTACCCATTTTTTTAAGCTTATGTGTTCTTTCTTAAAACAAAGTTTCTCTCTGAGTAGGATTTAAGAACATACGGCTAGTTTTGAATAGGATCATTCCCTCCAAATGGGAATTTTTGTGAAGCAAGTGGTACTTGTGGAACCTCTAGGTCTCCAGTCGAAAGTCTGTCTTAGGCCATTTTGAACACCCCCATTACATTTCGTATCAAGGAAAGACCACAAAGCCCTTCTCTTTGCATTTGCTTCAGATGCACAAATGAGAAGTGACAGCATAGTCTGAGGGAGATTCATGATGTAGACATTTGTTTTTATTGATTTACCTGGTGATTTCTTGACCTATGTGTCTCATCTCCTTGTTTTGTCTTGCAGATATTGATGAGTGTGCTGTACACATGGACCACTGTAATCGAAATGTGTCGAGCTGCATCAATACAGAAGGGGGCTATGTCTGTAAATGCCTGGAGGGCTATACTGGAGATGGAGTCCATTGCTACGGTAAGGGCCTGGATGAGGGTTGTGCTGTGTCTGGAAGGCTGGGACAGTATGAATGAGCAAGAGACGCATCTTATGATTTGGGCTAGCCTTTCATCAAGTTGTGAAGCTGTCAAATGAGCTGTTCCGGATCTTTCTTTAAAATCTGGTAGGGGCATGGACCTAACAGTGACTTCCCCAGAAGCTGGAGTTTATCTTTTTTCTTCTTTGATTCTTTCCTTCCTGTTTGAAGTGTAGCAATCTCAGCCACTGATCAATATGCAAAGCCTGTAGATGTCAGCGGATATCTCCTGTCAGTGTTTGCACTCTTTTTAGTAGCTACAGCAGGAGAGAGAGGAAGAGTGAAGGGGAGGAGGGAAGTGGAGGTGAAGCAGTAGAGCTTTATTGGAAATCGTTGCTATGAATATAAACGAAAGCAGGTATTGAGTGTGTCATAATACTTATCAAATAATTCCAGGTCTGTTTAACAGGCATGGGGTTCAAGGTGTTGACACTGACAACCTGAGTACATTTAGAGCCTTGTTAATAATCAGACGCACTGATTTTCCCATCCAGCTCCAATGCCAGATCTTCAGTTCATTCCCTACATTACTTAATTTTTTAATCCATTTTAGCAGTAAATGTGATGGAATACGAAGCTCTGCCCTCCCCAGGTATTAGACCTGCACATAGTTTGCTCAGAGCTTTAGGAGAGTCTTGGCTACTCTTTTATCATTTTCTTTTCACTTTCTCCTTTATAGCCTAATTCAAAGCCCATTAAATTTGACCCAATTCTTACATAGTCTTTACTGGACTTCGGGTCTTTGGCACAGATAAGGATGATTGAAAAATTAAGAACAATATCATTATTGTAGGCAGGGTGTGGAAAGTATCAGAGAGAGGAGATTTGAGAAGGCATCATACCTACAGTGGTTAGAGATCCAGAGCCCACGTCTTTGAGGATGTTTGGAAGTGCAGACAGGAATGAAAAGCTCCTCTTGTGGTCCCAGCACCACCTACAGGGCATGTCCCCAGGCAGCCTGGGGCTTTCACTGTCTGTGGTATAGTTGCTCAGGGAGAATGACTGTGATACCTACCACTCCTAGTGAAAAACAGCCCATCAGTGAAACAGTGAAAAACATCTTTAAGTCCAGAAGGATACTAAGATAGGTTTTCACAGCATTTTATAAATGATCCAATGTTGTTATGATGTAAACAGAATTGAAATGGATTTTGTGTTTGATGACTTGAAATGTACTATAAAAACCAGAAACTGGTAATTAAGTTATTTCATACTTCAGATTAGATGCCTACATGCATTTGCAGTGTCCAGAAATGTGGCAGTACATCCAGAGCACTCTCTGAGAGGCTGGGGAGTCTGTGGTTACTTGACATAGAAAGTATGCTAGTTGCTTTCCATGAAGACATATTTGCAGAGAGAAGGTCGTTGGTGTTTTTCTGCACTGCCAGGAGACTGCAGTGGTGCAAGTGCTGCCCTTTTACCCAATGCTCTGAGCCATTTCATTCTAACTGCAAAATGTTTGGGTGACAGATATTGATGAGTGCAAGATTGGGACTCACACCTGTGGAGAGAACATAACCTGCACAAATACAGAAGGAAGCTTCACTTGCTTGTGTGCTGATGGTGCTCCTGGAACTGGCATGGTTTGCGGTGAGTAAATGGAGGGAGTAATTAAAATTAATTGGATAAATTGTTATACCTGGAAATTAAGGAAACCCTGTATAGTGACAGACTGGGAAACCTGTGGATCCATTTAGCATTCCTTTAGGAGGCTGTTTTGAGGTGGGCTAAGGAGGTCAGATCTGAGTTTAGTTTGGAAATACCTACCTTAAGGTTCAATGCTATTTTTTGTGTAATGACACATCTATCTAATGGCATTTAAAAACAACAGAAGAAGTAAGTGTTCCTCGGAGGTAACATCTGTGGAGGTGGTTTCGGTATGTGCCATTTTTCAAACTCTGTGCCTTCTTTCCCTCTGCAGGCTAGCACAAGAACTGTACATAATTGAATTCCCATTTAATTATTCAGAATAAGCTAGTCTTTCAGATCCAGTGGATAATTCTTCAGAAGGGCTCTGAAACTCTTTAGAAAATCTGGTTACCGATCTGGTGAAGGCAGCTGCTGCAGGATCAGCAGTAGTGACTATCTTACCCTTATTTCGGTGCCACAATGTGACAGCAGCATTCTTGGAAAATGTAGAGCTGGGTGACTTATCGTCTTACTCTGTGTCAGCCCTCTTCATTGGGGTGAATTTTACTCCAGATCAAGTAACTGCCTGGTGATGGAGGGACACTGTGTGATTGTCACAGATCTGTTTCTGTAGAAAACTAGAAGGAAATTAGGGCTTTTTAAAGTAGAACACTGTCCTGGTTTTGCTAGGACTGAATTGTGTATAATCCTTTTTAATGTTTCAGTCAGAGCTGGATTTTTTTTTTGAGAAAGCTGTGTTTGCTTTAATGAACACAAATTGACATTATAACTTTGGCTGGGATGAAGTTATTTTCTTTATGAAGGTGATAAGATTATTGTTTTCATTTTCACCAGCAGATATGTGTTTTTCAAGGATTTGCCTGCACCTGTGGTTCTAGTTTCTTTTGGTGTTTTGGTTTTTTATCTTCCCTCTGCACAAGAGAAAGCAAGGGGAAGTGAGCGCCTGGGACTCTCTGGGATAGGTGACCTGGAACGAACACCTATCAAGATCCCCCCTTCCTTTTCAGTTACTCAAGATTTCAGTAGTTTCAAGTGTCACTCAGGAAATGATTATTTTAAATCATGCATGACTTGGAAGTAATGCCTTCTAGCTGTAAGCCTGATTCCATGTCTTCATGGGTGTTAACACACTGTTTTAGTTCTTTGCCTAATAAGCTCTTTCAGCAAGTTGAAATTTTCTTTGCAGAATGCAGTCACAGCTGGGGTTCACTAAAATCACTCATTCCTTTCCATTCAGGCTTTTTGCCATGGCAGTTCTCCTGCAAATGAAATTTTAAAAAATAAATGTCATTGAAGGTCATGTTGCAATAAAACTGATGTGAGTCATAAAACTGATCCCATAAATGTATGAGAGCGATTAGGCGCATCTCTGCTAAGCCATACTGCTAGAAATTCTCTGTCATGTAAATGTTTGGTTCTAACCTATAGATATGCTGTAGCATCAAAGTAGGCAAGAAAGCACTCCTTTTCTGTGAGAGCATGTCTGGACTGTAGGTCATGCTGTGCAGAGATATTACAGCTACCTTTAAAACTAGCTAGTTTGGATATCTATGTAGGTGATAGTGTGTGTGATTCAGAGCAGGCTACAAAACCCTTTGAAGAATTGGGTCAGTAGAGTTCCCTGCTCCCCCAGTGATGCTATTATCTGTACCTGTTTTCAATAAAAAAAAAAATCTGCAGTCACGCATGGATGCAATCACCTGGAAGGCAGCAGAGTAGAAATAATCTGCATAACAACAAGTTACATGCAAAAACTTCTCTGTCAGATATCCAAGTGTTTAAAATATAGTCAGCCTTCACCTATATATTTGACCCTGGTACTTCATGCGTGTTAGAGATTTACCACACCCTACAGCTGCATAAATTGCAAAAATCATTAAAGTGTAAGTAATTAGATGGCCAGTACATTTCTTTTTCAGATATGTACTCACACATCTAAGGAGACACAACACAGCCAACCTCTGTGAGTCTTTCATTGCAAATCTAGAATCAAGCATATTTAGTATTTTGATCTGAAGTTCTGTGTGCTTAAATTTCATAAGCTACGTAAGCAAATAGGTAAAACACAAGTCATTTATTGAAATAGAGATTTTTGCCTACTTTTCTGTCTTGAACTTCTGGAATTATTTTGTAAGATCACGTTGCCAATGCACCCAAAAGTTTGAGTTGTCCTTGTGAAATTCTGTATTTCAGGATCTACTGTGTCCCCTACTGTTATCAGCAAAGAATATAGTACACGCCCTGTGCAAGGTGATATTTTAGGATGCCCCCCTTCCTATGATTCATACTGCCTCCATGGTGGAGTGTGCAATTATGTTTCCGATCTACAAGACTATGCCTGCAAGTAAGTACAGAAATTTGTATTGTCTGTGCTGATGAATGGTATCCTCAGGGCTCAGTTGAGTGCAGACAGTAAAGTATTTATCCATAAATTATCTGTTCATCACTCATGCTAGCAATTATCATTAGACTCAGCTCTTTTCTGTAAGTGAACACTGTAAGTTTCTGTAAATGGTTGCTCCATTCACACCCATTGTAATTAATAGTAGGATTGGATTTGTTCCCCAAGCACTTGATTCTTTGCTTTGGAAATGTGAGATAAGTTGTTAAATGACTTAGCGCTCATAGCTTTACAAAAGAGGTGCTTGCTGTCTCTCCTGTTTGTATTGTGTTGACTTGTACCTCTCTGTGGCCTTGCTGTTCGTGTGTAGCACTCAGTGGGATGGAAGAGGACATCTCTGTCTTGTCTTCTCTGATTGAGATCAGGGAGAAGTCTGGTGTCAGCATCTTTCCTTAGAGTCTGAGGAGTCTTGGTCCCTGACAGGAAGGGTGCAACATTATGGTTCTCTAAATCCTTAATCTTCAAAATCAAGCATTGAAGTCTTTACAGTGGGACAAATCTAATGCCTGCCTCCTCCCCTGGGGTCTCACCTGGTAACTGAGGACCTGTGCAGGGGACAGATGCTGTTCCCTAGTAGGTAAATCTCCCTCTGTGTCTCAGTAACTCGGGTGGCCCTGGTATAACCCTGGAGAGCACAAGTCTTGTGCTAAAGAGTTTCTTTGATCCACATTTTGCCCAGGTCTTCCTTGTAGTGCACTGCAGAAACCCTCTGTACCACACCATTGCTACAAGCTCTGCCAAATTTTAGGCTTTCTTATTTTTTAAATATAAGCGTTCTCCCCTGCCTACAGACCTCTGTAAGTGATCACTGTAAGTTTCTGTAAGTGGTTGCTCCACTCACAACCACTGCATTCTGTACCTACAGGAATATGAAAAGAATGTATCTCAGATACATAGATGGAAATGAAGTGGATCCTTTGTGCCATGGATTTCCTTTGGGCAAAGCCATTACAGGAGATGGACTCACGGTCATCTCTGATATTTGTTATGAATTTTTAGTGTAAGTTTTAGAGGCATTGAAAACTTTTTTTTTCACCTCATTGACTTTCTCTTATTGAAACTGAAGAGTCTACAATTGCAGGACTTTCAAATTGGAACACATCTTTTTTTCTTTTATTTGTTAGTTGTTAGTGCATAATAAGAATCCAAATACACATGTTCTCCAGTGCTGGAAGTGGGAACCGTTTAAAGAATTAAATAGCAACGTGCTTAGCCATGTTTTTGGGGGTCAAGGTTTGTGTGTGGACCTTGCTGGTCTCACATTGATGAATTCTCACTAGATGGCAGCATTCATTCATGTAGGCTGCAATATATTAAATACCAAAACCAAGCAATGGAAAAATGTTATCTAGTAAAACTCATATACCAAATGTGATTTGTAGTTTAATTAATAAAGGCTCTTACACTTGAAAGTAGATCTTCTAGCTTGTTTGGAATTTATTGTGATCTTATATTTAAAAAATTATTATTTTTCTGCCTTGCAACATATATGCATTCTAATTTGTGAAAGAATAAGAGTGCCTGTACCTGATTTAATAATGAATGCTGATATAATGTTATCAGGACATTAGGTAAAAGCTGCTGCAGGTCAAATCACGCTTCTCTTGCTCATTTGAATAGCTCTTTTGACTTGAGTAAAACTAGACCGGTAAGAATTTTGAGAAGAATTTGAGTCTACATTCCTGAGAGATGGTTATGAATTGAGAACATTTTTCATTTTTTAAGTTTATTATTTCCTTTTTTATGTCTCTCGCCTTGGACAGTAAAACTAGGCTGAGAATCTATTAGATTTATTTCTCATTTTCTATTAATTTTGATTTGAGGGTTTCATGCATTGATAAGACATTTCTATGTTGGGTTTTACAGTGGTAAAACAAACAAACAAAAAGCTACCTACAGAAGAAGCTTGAATTAAAACTATATTATGAAGATATTTCTAACCTATGCAAGGTTTTTTGTAAACACTTTCATTCATCTTCTATTTTAAAGTAAGGATTCAGATTAAAATTTGATTCCCTTAACCAAATCATTCTGAAAATACTAGTAAGTCCTATATTGCCTATTTCAAAGAAAGGGATGCTTGCTGCTGGAAACAGTTAAATGGAAAATCTTAGGGAAACACTAATCACACAGCAGGATTTAAGAGAAAATTATTTTATCTTTTCTATTCTTTACCCATTAGAATCTGGAAATTATATTTTCACTGTATAATTCTATAGCTCCACAGTAAAAAAAAAAAAGTCTTTTAATATTGAATTCTACAGGTTTTGACAGCCATTTCTTTGAAGTAATTTTGTCTTCACCACTACTAAATTCAACCAGATATTTTTGTAGCGGTTGCCAATGGTAAATCAATACATGAGGTGACTGAAGTGATGATCTGGGGCTTTTCCTTCATCAGCACTTACAAAGCATGCTCACTTCCTTTTGGCAGCTGTGTGACAGGCTATGTCGGGGAGCGGTGCCAGTTCAGTGATCTGGAGTGGTGGGAGCAGCAGCATGTCGAGCGGGTGAAGATGCGGAACATCACCATTGTCGTGTGCGTGGCAGTGCTGGTCCTCCTGCTCCTGCTGGGGTCCCTGGCTGTCTACTGCCACAGGTAATGTTTTCAGACACACACTGTGAGCGTGTGGCATGGAGACCAGAGTGCTGCTGACTTTCACAGAGGGCTCAAGGTGAAGAACATGAGCTGTTCCTCAGCTGGTGGAGGTCACCATATCATCCTTGCTACTCGTTTGCTTTTCAGTAATTGGATCTATGAATAATTCAGAAAGTTCTGGCATGTCCCTTGCCTGCAGTACTCACATTGCTGTTAGTGAGTGACGTGTCTAGGGGGGAAGAAGGAGAACAGACCTTGTTAGGTTTGAAGAGGAACCATACTCGTTATTGATGAGAAAGTTCAGGAGCATTCTATTTACTTCTTCCTTGGTTTCCCTTAAGAGTTCGGGATGTCTGAAACTGTCACAGTAGGGTTTTCTCTGCTAGCTATTCCATTAGTTTGGTTTTGCTTCCCTTTCAGTGTAGAGTGGCACCTGGAAGATTCCTTGCCATTGAGAAAAGGAGTGTACTGACCTTCCAATAGCAAACTTCCCCAGAGATGCCTCCAGGGATGAACTTGAAAGCAGTCTTCCTGGCAGCAGAAAGAGTAAAATCAGGGATGTGAGCCTAAGACACATCTGTTGTAAAAGTGCTCCCTGGCATTCTCCATGGCTGTAATGAATTGTGCAGGTTTGGGATTCTTCTCATGGTAAAAAGGATCCCTACAGTCACTATTTAAGAACCCAGTCTAATGTGAAATTAAATGTCATCGATGTCCCTCAGACTGGGAAGTATTCAGCATTTAATGTGAGTCTTTTGTCCATGACCTTGGCTGATAACTTTTCTCACAGGCTGTTGTTTAAATTAATATTTATATTTAAAAGTAAACAAACAAAGAGCCAGATAGCAGCCAAATCAAGAGTCTCTTGCTGCATACCAACCCGCCCTCCTTGTGCAGGGGTTTTGTTTGTGGTTTAGGTTAATTTTAAAATTAGACTCTCCTAGGTATAAAAAGTTAAACTACAAAAGAAGTTAACTATGGAAGCTAATATTTTCCATTCTATTTAATGGTTCTTAGCATATTTAGTCCATAGAAGTAGAGAAGCTGCCACGTTTCTCATTTTCTATTAAGTAATACTAGAGACTCAGAATTAAAGCTAAGCACAGCCCAATTTGTTCTTATGACCTGGAATTCAGAAGCTAATCAGTGGAATGATGCATACAGAATAGACAAACTGCGAGATTCTTGTATTTCCCATATATGTCATATAAACTGGCATGAAAAATAGCCAGAATGTGGCTGGTTTTAAGTTGTGAAGTTAAAAATTCTCTTATCTTCCTCTCTCCCTTGTCATTTCTCCCTGATTTACCTTTCTTTCTTGCCAAACACTTTTGATCAATACAACTATTTACCTTGACAACAAGTTTTCAATTACATACTTGACTGAATTTGTACTGCAGCTATTACTAACCTAACTAGTTCAAGATGAAAACATTGACCTAAAATCCCTATTTAACTGAAGTTTGAAAACCAGTATTTGGGTTGAAATTGCTATATTGCTTTTTCACATTATCTACTGTATTTTGAAATGTACCAATTAAGTCTGTAATAGTCCCATTCCTTTCTGTGTAATATAGAAACGTCTCTCTCCTTTTAATTGGAGGAAATGGAGTTGGACATCTGCATCTGCCAGTTTGAAAAATGTGTGAACTGAAGGCCAAGAATACCAAAGTACTGTGTTGGCTGGTTCAACAACTGAAGTACGCTGAAAAGCACTGTGTTATTCTTAATGTTAGGTTTATGTAGTCTGACTGTATAGTATGCTATGTTTCCTATCTTCCTTGAGAAGCAAGGAAACAGCTCTTTAAAAAAAACATTAAAATCTGAATCACAGATTTAACATCCACCTCAACTGGCCAAGACCATGCTAAAATGGACAGTAGGACTGGGATCAGGATTGAGAAACATATGGTAATTATGGCAGATATGCTTTCCCAGTTAGTATATGAATGTGATGTAGAAGTAAAAGTGAAAATCCTATTTTCTTTGATACATGTCTATTAAATTTCGTTTAAAATAGATCATGTAAAGTATGTTATAACTTGAGACTTCTGGAATTTGAAGAGTGTAGCTTTAATTTTTTTAGCTGATGTCTAGGAGAAGAAAACACATGTGTGTAGATTCAGTAAAGATATATTGATTTGGATCTCAAGCAGTGTAAATGAGGTCTTTTTTTATGACCACGTTTTCTATGTTGGGGCCTATATGGGCTTTTAATACTGCCTTATGAGTGATTGCTATTCATCTGCAAAAATAATAAATTTTGAATTTATAGATCCAGTCACTTAAAGCTGATTATTTGCATCCTTTTCAAACTCCAAGTTCTACTTTTGCCTTTTTTTCCCCTTAAGATAATTCTGTTGGTCATGCTTTTTCTTGGAAATGTCTTAGTTCCAAGCTTTTTGAGGCTTTCAGTTTCTTTATTCCGTAGCTATTTCTTGCCAAAGATAACAAAATAACAAAGTCATTGTTCTTCATAAATTATGCAGATGAATGCATAAGTGACTTTCATAATTGTAGCTATCAGTGATGTACAAAGACACAGATTTTTATTTCTGACCTTCACTCACAAATGCTGTTTGTTGTATTGGCTGAAACTTAAATCTTTATAAGAGTAATGCATTATAAATATGAGAAAATGCAAGGGATACTTTAAATTATGAAGCCTATTGTTTTTTTCTAATGAATGACTCTTTACAGGATGGCACATTAGAACAAACTTTTGTTCCTTTCTTACTGACTTCTGCTTCTGACAAGCTGTTTGTTTTGACCACTGTGCGGTAATTGGCAGTAATACACCAGGCCAAACCAATGAAAGAAGACAAAATATATGTCCCTTCTGTAAATACCTATTGAGTAATTTGTGAAAGGAAGCAACATCTGTTCCTCCCAAAGCAAAATAATTTGTTTCAGCTTTTATTCTGTTGCAGGAGTCAAAACTTGTATAAGAACAATCTCTATGCAGAAGCGATAAGAGATGCCAGCAGCAGCACTGACAATGAGAACTTGACGCCTACTAACAAGTCTCGGGTAACTATATTAGTGTGGAGTGAAGAGGGAAGCAGGACAGATCAAAGAGTGTTAGGGATCCACTTGAGATTATCCATCAAATAATTCACATCTTAAATATATTAAATAACTGCTAGAGTCATCAAGCGCTGTGCTGTGAACCCTAGTTCATCTTACCTCATTGTTATCCCTCAAAGTTCACAGCTGCCTGGATGTATTGCAACCATTAGGCAGTGTTATTGTTAGCTTTGAACACAACAGTTGGGGAACTGTGTTCTAAATTAAGGAAATGGCAATGTGATGACATGGCATATCACAAAGTTATTTTCGCAGGAAAGTATGCCCTCTGCAAAAAAGGCTTCTTGGAAGCCAGGTATTGTGTGTGCTGAATGAGATACTGAACTTTATTTTGGGGGTTGATGAAATTAAATGTCTTTCTATTAGAAGCTGCTGCCTCGTAAAGAAAAACAACCAGGATGTTATGGGGAGGGGAGAGGATGCAAAATACAAATTTGGCACTGTTTTAGGTAGAAATGCCATCATAATCTGCTTGTGTTGAATTGTTTCTCTTGTCGTTTTTGAAGTTGCATCAGAGAATTTTGCCCCATGAGATCTGATCTAAGAACCTGATTCTCACTAGCATTAAAATGACATTACACTCCTGGATGACAGCAGTTGAAATCTGAAGTTGGCAAAAGTGACATAATTGGCATCTGTGGCTACTTCTGTGCCCAGCCTGAGAGTTCCTTCTCAGAATGACATGATTTACCCTGAGAGCTCCTCTGCACATGTGTCATTCAGCTCTGACTATGCTGCTGTAATGCAGATAACACCATACCTGTCCAGGGAGAATCACATTCGCTAAGCAGCACATGATCTTCAGAACAAGGATAGTTACGCCAGTGGAAAAGACTACTGGAAGAGTTTATACGTGTTCAGGATTGGCGACAGACTCTAGAGAAGCACGTACCTTTTTATTGGGGTAACTACACATGTGCTTTTTAGTATAGGTATTATTGAAGGGTTTTAAAGCCTTCCACACCCAACTGTAGCTGGAAAGGTGCAAGGACCGTGTACATAATAGTCACATTCACAAAATATTTTGACTTTAAATGACCTGACATTTGATTCTGCTTCAAATACTTGAGTCCAGAAAGACAGGAGTTTGTTCTACTTGGGAGTCTGTTTGAGGGGTTGAATATCATGGAATATTTATAGTGCAAATCCAGGGATTTTTAATCAACCTGTGAAGAAGGCCTCACAAATGGTTTTGATTGAGTGTCTGGCAGGATTTGTGAGCAGGTAGCCACTGAAACACACCATCAAACTTACATTGGGAGTACTGAATTGACTTGTCTCTGGTTATGACATATTGTTCCTTGGCTGGTCAGCTGCACACTCCTGTGGACCTTTTATTACCAGCACTTTATTCCTTTGGGTATTGAACAGCAAATGTGCTGAATTGCAGCAATGCCATCATTTGTTCACAACAGAGACAAAAACCACAGCTTGCAAAGTATCTGTGGCTGGGGAAATCAGAAACATTTGCTGGGACTGAGAACAGCTCCTTGCCTGGGAGCAGTGCTCTAGGAGGCCTGCAGCTCAGTAGCTCTGTCCCCACCTGCTGTTGTCCCCATAGTTAATGCTAGTGGTCAATGACATTTGTGCTGAACATAGGAGTAATTAGACAGCTAAGCAATTGACTGAGTCAACAAAAATAAATCCAGCCTACTCGTCTATTACACATTGGTGTTCAATTTCACCATGCATTCTTGCACTGGAGACATCAAATACATTAATAAAGTAATTTATTGCAAATGGCTTGTTGCAGGCTGGAAGAGGAAATCACTGACCCTTTGCTAATTATTGCTGCTGACACAGTAATGAATTCCTGTGGTTTCATGCATGTGATTTTGTCTGTGCTGATGTAGCCATTGAGTGTTAAGATCACTGGGGCTTCATGCATGCATGCACTCAGGTTAGAAACTGTAGAGTTGCTAAAAAGCAGCAGGAAGTTGTCCACATCTACTGTTCACTGAAAGTGAATATTGGGGAGCTTTACGTGGAAAAAAAGAGATTATACTACATCAGGGACAGAAAACTCTATAGCTCCTCAACTCAAGGTACTGAAAAAGCTTTTTGGGTGCTCAGGATTTACACAGCATTAATAATCCTAACAAAGGACTTCGTACAGGGACTGGATGATGTGTGTTCAGTAACTGTAAAGCGCTCATGAAACTCACTCCTTTTGTAGCCCACAGCTACTGAGGCTGTGGAGAGGGAGTGCAAAGACTTTCTGGTTCTTGCCCATCTAGGTTACTGTAGAGGATAATGAGATTTAATGCTATCACACATATCAAATGCTAGGTATCCTGATACTGAAACTGTACCTAGAAATTGTCCAAGTATCATTGGCTTTTCCCTTTACTTCTATTCTGCCAGCAAAGCTACATTTAGCTGAGGTATTTTTTATTAGTAGTATTAGTATTATCCTGGATATTTTTTCAGATTTGTATTAGAGTTCCATAAGTCAGGCTAGGTTTGTCCTAAGGATATGTAAGCCTTGGTAAACTTCTGCACATGCCTGGATTTTGATGCTATTTTGAGACGTCTCATCCAGCAAGTGCTCTGCTTTGCACAGTCAAAGATATTTTGCAGAACCATGTGTAGCCGAATCTCCTCAGGGTCTGTCACATGTGGGTTAGCAGCTGTAAGCCTACAGATTTTATGTAAATGAACTGATGCCTAAATAGTCACACCTGCTGCATCTATGATCTGTCCACATAAATCCACGAATTATCCACCTCAACCACTGAATCTGTCAGTCCCTCTGTTGAAACATCTTATTTAGGGACATTTTATCTTCTTCCTTGTTTCTGCTCTTTAAACGTCCCTCTTTTACTG